CTTTTGCAGCTCCCAAACTTCTTCATCTGTCAACATTGTCACCCTACCTGTGCATTGTCTGTCCTTCCACCAAAATGTTAAGTTTCACAAGAATGGAATCCATGTTTTTATCCTTAGGGCCTGGCATTTAATGGATACCAGAAAATATTTGTTGAATAAATAAATGAATAAATGAAGGCCCAACTTTTTCTTGGTTCTGTCACTGGCCTGACTCTGGGGCCAAGCTTCCCAAAGTCAGACCTCTCCTAGGGGCCAAGAGAGGGTGGTGTGGCTGGAGAGCTGAGAAACCCTCAGAAAACAACTTGTGAGCCCATCAGTTGAACCCAAGCCAGCTGTGGTGAGACAGGGTCTGAGAGCTGGAGGTTAGCATGGTGGAGAGAATTGCTGGGAGGACTTTCTACAAAAGCAAAGCCCAGAGTCTGGCAGAAGCATGCTCTGGACACATATGAGGGTTGGCTGGGCATGGGCTGATTAGAGGAGGAGGGGAATAAACAGCTGGAAAGGCCACTTTCAAAATGGATTTTGATATATTTACCAGAAGTTGAACTGACAGGACTTGATTACTGACTGGAGGAAGAGGGAGGCCGGTCTTGCAGAGCAATGAATGCCAGGCTAAGTTTGCCTTTTTTTCCTGCCTTTGATGGCAGAGGATAGTCAGTGACTGCTTGTAAAGATGGCCAGGTACAGGTTTATTTGCCAAGTTAATTTTGGCTGCCAGACAAGATGTCTGAAGGAAAGGTTGAGGCAGGAAGGCTGGTGTAGTTATGAAAGAGGAGGGTGAAGAGAGAGAGAGAGAGAGAGAGAGAGAGAGAGAGGGGTCTGTGGAAGGAAGGTCTGTGATGGAGAAGTCTCCCATGAGGGGCAGAGGTGAGCTGAGTGGGCTCTGTCTCTAAGAAGCCCAAAAGGCCTGTTACCAGCCTCACTAAGATGACATCTCTGAACTTGGCTGCCAACTGGATCTGAAGATAAAGTAGAGAGAGAGGGAGAAGATGATTTCCTCCAAGGTGTGTGTTCCAAGAGGCCGGGTGGTGGGTGGGGCCATCAACAGAGGTAAGAAAAGAGGCTGACCTGAGACTAGAAACAATGAACATGACTTTGTATACGGAGCACACTTGTCTGGTTTGACATGCTTGGCATGATGTCCAATAGACAGAATTACAGAGTAGTAGCTCAGGAGCGAACTGGCCTTGGGATGTAGAATTGAGAGATATCTTCTTGCCCTCACTCTCCTACCCTCCAAACTTGCATTTAGTTAGAATGGGTTGATGTAATTTTGTGACAAAGTGATACTGTAACACTGAAACAAATGATCCTAAATAATATAATGTAGTAAAATGTGTCATGTAGTACAAGTGATAGTGTAGGACTTGTAATAATAGTGTAATATTGTAACCCAGAAATAGGATAACCATATGACAATTTACTAATATAAACCAGGAAATGATGGGTCAATGTACTAGTTAACAATATGGGGCTGTATTGTAGTAATGAAATAACCATGTAATCAGTGACACTGCAACAAGTCACACAATCCAGCAACCAAATGACAACCTGACAGTGTAACCATGTTAACTCAGTAATGACATACTGACACAATGATGCCATAATACAATGGCAGAGTGTGGTGATGATGTCATGCAATAATAAGAGGCAAACCAGTGAGCAGGTCGAGCCACAACACAAACAGGTAACATTCCTAAACACAAATTTTACTCAAAGACCAATGTTAAGATGAAGGAAAATTTGTATAATAAGCAACCATGTCTCTGAAAAAGAAAAGTATGAATACATATTATTGTTTGCTTACATTTTACAAAATGGAAAGATGAGCCAAAAAGTTTTTTAATGTTCATCTATTAAAGAACGGAGAAACAAAATGGAGAGGACAAGACAGAAGGTAGACATCACTGATTATATTTTGTAGATTTGACTTTAGAACCATGTACATATTTTACATAATAACATACAAAATTAAGTAAATAAATAAGCAATCCCCCAAAAGGTAGAAGCTAAATGAAATAAATGAACACAACTATCCATTGAGTTGGAATCATAACCACAGAGAGAAAAACTATTTCAAGTAATTTAAAACCTAATAATTGATTATATGTACACTCCTTAGTGTGCCATACACTGATAAAGCAAACAAGTAATGATATTGATGTTCTTGAAGATTTTGTTTGGTGTGGGACAAACAAACAAAACCAAATGGAAGATCAATGAAGATAAGTAAAATCCCTGTAGTCTGGGATTTCAATTGGATGCATTAGTAATAACTCAATGCATTTTAACTGTATTTCCTAGCTCTACCCACTGGAAAAGACAAGAAGTTAATCAACTCAATAACAATAAGCACCTCTAGTCCCCAGACTGTGGTCTTTTAATACCACATTGCACTAAAAGGAACCAGGATTCTTTAGGGAAATAGATGATTCTGGAAATCTTGCCATAACAGAAAGCAAGAAAGTTATTAAAAACTCCTAGAAAGGTCAGATCAAAAGGACGTAGGTGCCAGTTAGAGGCTGCCATTGACCAACAATGACATAATTGAGCATCAGTGAGAATAATAAGTACAATTGATTTAAATTCATCAAATATATTTAAATGCATGAATGTATAATTAAGAGAAATATCTTATTGACCTTCTTTGTAAGACACCAGGAAACCAACTCATTATTTGATAAATTAATAAATAAAGAGAAAAGAATCAAGCATTTCTACTGCCTTTCTTATAAGAACTGTATCTTTGGGAAAATCAAACAGTGGGTAAGGGGAAGTTTCTCTTTATAAATGTCTTACAGCTAATAAATGAAGAAGAAATGGATAGAATTAGAATATTACCATTTTGCAACCCCTAATGGAATAATAGATCTAGGAAATGATCATCAATGGCTGTTAATTTCACAAAAAGAGAAACAACAAAACATTATGTGCCCCTTGATGAAAATACAAAACACACACACAAAACAAAAATAAAAAAACCTATTAGGTAATATTTCCAAAAAATCAAACCTGCATCTGATCAAGCCTCTAGATGTAACTACCATTTTACAGATGATACTATGAACAGAGGAACTACACGGGTAAAATCTGATTTAGGCTCTTGCTTGTACATTTTCCCCAGACTGTGCAAATCTATAGGGCACATTATCTGACTTCTTCAATAAATAAATTTCAAGAGGGGAATGGATAGACAAAAGAGACATATCAACTAATTGCAATATATTTGAATCTTGCAAGTAGTTAAAAAGAGGAGGAGCAGGAAGAGGAAGAGGAGCAGTAAGAGCAGGAGGAAAAGTTATGAGATAATCAGTGACATATAAAGGCTGCACTAATTGCACATTATGAAATTTTTAGATGGGCTAGTATTAATATGGTCATTTTTAAAGTCCTTTTATTTTAGAATTATTTAATTGAAATATTTACAGATTAAATAATATAATGTCGGGGATTTTCTTTAAAATAATACTGGGGCAAACTGGTAGGACCAAAAATGGCTATAAATTGATAGTTCTTGGAGCTGGGTTTATTATACTGCTCTCTCTATTTTTATTAATGTTTGACATTTTCAATAATAAAAAGTTTTAGGCCTTTGTTATATTAAATCAAACTAGTTAAATTTGGGGGTAGTCACCTGCCCTATCTTGACTTTCAGAAAGCTGACAACTGTCTTCAATTGGTCAGCTGTCTAAGCTGGATATTCTGAAGAAACTGACCAGCCTAAAAGAAAATACCTTCAGATTCTGGTAATTGGGGTCTCCCACAAAACATATGGATCTCCACCTCATTACTCTTCAGTGATGTCTACCAATCAACAGGGCCCAAACATGCATACAGAGTTTCCAAGCAATCTTTTACTGCCTTACTTTTGTGTATGGATGGACAGGAAAGGATATTAATGATTTAAAATAAGCCTCTAACATGAGAAACAGAGACCAGAATTAACTACCACAAGAAAAAGAACTTGAAAAAAAATCAAAGACAATTCAGGAAAAAGAAGAAAACTAAAATCAAAACCAAATAAAAACTGTCTATAATTAATAACCTCAAAGCAGTAAAAGAAGAGGGGCAAAGGTGGAAAAACTTGGGACAACTGTGATAGCATAAACAATGAAAGGAAAAAAAGAGGTAAAAGAAGCACAACCATAAAATAAATACATTCTCTGAATGTATATTAAGGTACATTCAGAGAATAATAATAATTCTTAAATCCCTGGAAATTAATATATATGTGCATATATGTATATGTGTATATGCATATATATAATATCAGAAGTAAAAATATTCAATAGAAGGTTTCCAAGGTTAAGTTGAAGAAATATCTAAAAAGTACAATGAATGGCCACAGAAATGAAACTAGGAAAAAAAATAACAAACTACAAGATAAATAAAGAAAGAATAAATATCTGTCTAATAGGAATTTCAGAAAACGAAGACAAAGAAAATAGAGGTGAGAAAATAATAAAAAAATAATTCTATAAATTTCTCCAAAATGAAGGACATGAATTTCTAGATTGAAAGAGCCTATCAAGGACTCAGCACAGTGGACTTACAAATTCCCACATCAAAGCACATAATCATAAAATTATAGAACATCAAGGGATAAAGAGAAGCTTTCAGAATGAGAGAGAGGGGAAATAAGGCTTAAAGTATAACCATTCAGAAATAGGAATGGCAGCAAACTTCCCAACAGCAACAATAGAGACTATTAGATAATGGAACAATACCTTCAAAATGCTTAGGAAAAATTACTTCAAGTCTAGAATTCTATAGCCAGCTAAAATATCAATCAGGTCTGAGACTAAAATAGTCTTTTTCAGGCTTCCAAATCCTCCCAAATTTCCATTCATTCTTTCTTTAAAAAATTATTGGAGAATGTTCTCTATCAAAAATAAATGAATAAACCAAGAAACAAATACTTGGGACCTAGTAAGCAAAAAATCTAACACAGGAGAGAGGTGAGAGGAATTCCCAACATGATATAGGAGGGAAATTCCATAATGACAGTCGTGCAATATATCCCTGGAGTAACCAGTACCAGTAGGAACAGAAACAGACACATCACATAGAGTCGTGTAGGTTGTTTTCTGCCCAAGGGTGGCCATAAATGAGAGCTGAAATCCACCTTTGCACTCTGCTTGCCAAGCCACAATCTTGATGAAGGTTTGCATTAAACCTAGAAGAAGGAAACACTAATTGGTATTCCCAAAGAGAGCATTATTCTATTGTTTGTCATCCCAGGAAGCTCCTTTTTATAATCCATCTGTCCAGAGGAGGAACCTTTTTAAAAAACTCTACTCAAAGTTTCATTTGCATTAGTGATGGTCCTGAATGGAAAAAAACAAACAAACCTGTAGGCTTTCACAGGATGCCACCAGTAACAACAGATGACAAAATTTGCTTGACAAAAATAAAATGAGTTTCATATTTCTGTTGAGAATTTGCACATGAATTAGTAATAAGTAAGTAGAAAACTTAGCAAATAAAGGAAAACAGAAGCAGCTATTAAGCAGGAGAAAACAAAAAAGTTATATAAGAAATAAAACGAAGTGAAAGTCGTAACATGACTCAGCTGTAAAAAAAATTACTTTTGTTCTTTTTTGTTTTTCTCTCTTCTTGCCTTTTGCTGTGCTGGACCCGTGCTCCTAGTGCCTCACAAAATTGAGGAAATCAAGGACTTCCTGCCCACCACCATGAGGAAGTATGCCAAATTTGTCAAGATCAGGACAAATAAGGATAATGTGACGTTTAAAGTTCAAGGCAGCATCACAGAAAAAGAGAAGGTAGAGAAACTGAAGCATTTCCTGCCCCCAGATTTGTTATTGAAGGAGCTTAAATGAACCAGACCCACTGATATGAACTGTATTAAAATGTTAAAAATCACACTTTCATTTACATTAATACAGAATATTGGTTTTACTACAAATTTTGATATATGTATATAGAAAGAATTTTTAAAAATAAAGTAAATATAGATGCTCATATAAGACAGCCCCATCTCCATCTTCTATAATAGACAGTCAACAAATAATTCTAAAAAGTGAAAAGTCAAATATAGCAATATAAATGGAATATTTCAATAGAAACAGGGAGGTAAGTAAATCAAAAGATACAGTTAAACAATTTTAAAACATAAACCTATGAACAGCTAATGGGGTTTAACTATAAACTTTTATCAGTTTGCTATTTGAGCCATGTAACTAACTTTTTAATGAAAAATTCAAAGATACCTAAAAACAGAGAAAATAGTACGCTGATCTCCCATAGTCTAAACACTCAAAAGTGTCCTGGTTTAGGTAACTAATTTCATAGTGACTCTACTCATTGAACCTGAAGTTTAGATCCTTCACCATGACAGTTGCCTTCCCTAGACATCCCTCTTAAAAAGAGTCCTCAGCCCTAACCCTAGCAGAGTATGGAAGCTGGTGGCACGATTGAGTTTTCTTATTGCAAGCTTTCTGCATCTACTAAGGAAGTTTGGGAGCCAGGGTGTGTGTCATCATACCCCTGACAGTGCCACCTAACTGATTCACAATGAATTGACTGTCAAACTAGGTCTTTTTCAAGTGATTCATTCTTAAACCAGGGCTTTTCTGATCTTTTATAACCTGCTTGCAGGACTCCACACCCACCTTCCTCCAAATGTCATTTGCTCATAGATGTTCTTCGTTCCAGCCTGTCAAAATCATTTTGAACCTCAATTGTTATCCAGCCTATTAGTGATCCTGTTCCTCTTTGCATCATCTGGAAGTGTGATAAGCTAGACACCTACATCTTCATCTGAGCCACTTATAGAAACATTGCATGACCAGAGCTGAGTCACCGGCTCAGAGACCTCCTGCCTGCGAGACATAAACCCTATCATCATCACACCCCTTTGGGTACAGTGATTCACCAGTTATGAATCCACAAAGCAGGGCCATTATACAGCTCACATTTCCTCATCATTTCCACAAGCATAATCTGACTAACTGCTTAACACCCTGTTGAAAGCAAAGACAGTATCCTCAGCATTCTCCAATCCTCATCAAGAAAAGAAGAATGATATGCTCCTTTTAGGTATGTGTTCCACCAAAGGCAGACACATTCTCCTTGTTAAGCATTGCCAGTCCCCATATGTAATAAGAATTTCTAGAATTCTGCTGGGAATCAACATCAATTTTGACAATCTTTGATTTCCAAACCCATTGTCTACTCCTTGCTGAGTGAGGCGTCGCTGGTCCATTTCCGTCCCATGGCACGCCTCCATCGTCCATGACTCCCCAAGGGTCCCTGAAAGCAGATTCCTGATCGCATTTGATCTTGACACCTATCTGGATCTTGGTCTTTTTATCATATTTGCTTACTGTTTCTGATTTGAAATCATCTTCCTCAACACTCTGGAAAGGAAGGAAAGGGAGCAGCTCTTCTCTCTGTCTTTGGTTAATAACACAGCATGCCCTTCTACCCTAAAGGTATTAAACACATTTTATTTATTTCCTAATTCATTCATTCATCCATTCACTCATTCATTTATTTATGTTTAATCACACAAAACAAGTTAAAATGCACATATTATGGATATCATTGACCAGTCTGTCTAATTCCAGTCCATTCTTAATTGTTATTAGCTTGGTGTACATTATTCTGTGCATTTATACACCAGTATGTACATTAAAAAACACATGCTTTGGTTTTTTGTTTATCTATGCTGACATGTCCTGCAGAACATATTCCCCCATTAACATTTTCATGGCAGAACATCTCTAGGTTTTTAGTACCCAAACTTGATAGAACACATGGATCTCACAATAATATTTTTCACTTGTTTACATAAGGAAAACGTATATAGTATTTGCATCCTCCAAACTCAACATAGCATTCTCAACACAGTGATGTACAGGAAAAATTCCCAGTTACAGTTCAGATAAAATTGGTAGGGCATCAGATTCATGTATAGATGTTTCAAAGCATGTCATCAAAGGGGATATGAGTCTGGAGTGTGGCTGACACTCAGAGGCCTTATTATTGCCAACAAAGCAACCTTTTGTTACAACCATATTCCTTATTTGGTAACCAGAAAGCAATTTTTGAGCTTTTACATCCTAACATAATAATTTCTTATTTATATAGTATTGGCATTTTACTGGGATTTAGTTACATTTTAGGAAATCTGTGGAGGGATTTGAGTCGCCACAATCTGTTACCATTTTTGCCATTTAAAATAATGGAAGACAGGCTCCCAATTAGTGTTTCCACACAGAACATTTGATTTGAAGGAACAGATTTCTGACATTAAGAGAGAAAATGCCTGTCAGGTGAAGGGATAAAAAAAAATGTGGCACGTACACATGATGGGATCTTATTTGGTCATAAAAAGGAATAAAGTTCTGATACATACTACAGCATGGATGAATTTTAAAAGCATTATACTAAGTGAAAGGAACCAGACACAAAAAGACAAATATTGTATGATTCCATGTATGAAATATCTTATAGGCAAGTTCATAGAGATACAAAGTAGATTATGGGTTACCAGGAGCTTTTGGGAGGAGAGAGTGGGAAGTTATTGCTTAATAGATATAGAGTTTTTGTTTGGGATGATAAAAAAAATTTAGAAATAGTGGTGATAGCTGCACAACATTGTGAATATAATTATGTCACTGAAGTGTCCACTTTAATATGGTTAAAATGGCATAAATTATGTTATATATATTTTGCCAAAATAAAATGACAGGTTCTATATATTAAAAAATACTTTTAGTACTGAGACTCTTATTTACATTGAATCCTACAAAGATTGACATATATATGAAAAAAAATTCAGGGGGAGTCTTGTTTTTAATCTTATTAAACCCTTAATTTTTGGGGGGGAAAAAGTAAGATTTCCATATATACACAAATGACAAAGGTTTTCTTCCATAACTTGCTTCTCTCATTCAACAACACACGTTGGAGAGCCCCCAGTGCTAGGACCTGGGAGCACCCGACCCTGTGATTGTCGCCGAGTCCTCTACTGCCGCGATTTTCAACCTTTTTCATCTCATGGCACACAAAAGCTAATTATTAAAATCTGCGGCACACCAAAAAACATGATATTTTTGCTGATCTGACAAAGAAGTAGGTATAATTTTGATTTATTCACACTGGACAACTACTGTTGTGTTGGCTGCTGTCGTTTTTTATTTGATAATCTAAGAGAAAAGAGGTCAGTGCACCTGACTAAAGAGTCGGGCATTGCACGTGTCAGAAATTCTGATGGCACACGTGTTGAAAATCGCTGCTCTATAGAAGTACCTGGGCTTTGTCGGGCCATTGCCCTGCCAGGCAGTTTTCATGGCCTTCACGCTTTTCCAGCTCTAACCTTTCAGATGCTTTTCACAGTGTGTTGCCAATCTGGTGTCCCTCTCCCTGGTCACTCTTCGTTCCTCCATGGTCTGTGCAAGTCCTTGTCAATCTGGCCTCATTAGAGACCTTCCCAGGCAGTCACGTCGGTGTCCTCCCCTGCCTCTTCTGGATGTAGAGATACATGCTCAGAGATGTTCCTTGCATTACTGTTTTTAAAAGCAGAAAGCATTCTGAGTGTCCATCATTAAGAAATTATTCAGTAAAGTTATCCTTTCTGTAGACTACTACGCAGCCGCTAACAATGTTGGTTGGTATAAATTATAGAACTATATTTATTGACATGAAAAATTTCCCACAATTGCCAAATGAAAAAAGTGTTTTTCAAAACAACATTTATTATGTAATGCAGTTTTTTAAAAAAGAGAAAATTGATTATGTACATAAAAATAAACTCTGGAAGGATATACACATATACCCAAATGTGAAAAGTGGTCATCTGGGGATAGGATGACAGGTGATGTTTTTATTTTACACATCTGAATTTTCCCGTTTTTCTTTAATTAATATTCATAACTCATATAATGAGGGAGAAGAGTTTTTTGGGGTTTTTTTTTAATTAAAGAAGTCAGGGTTGACATCCCCGAGTCTGGTAATTGTACTGAACTAACTCAGAGCACAAATAACATTCCTCACATGTTTCTCTTTCTCTCTGGGACTTCCGTCTCCACCATAAGGAAGAAGGAGGGGAGGGAAAAAGAGGAGGCTACTTTTGTAGGCACAGTGCTGAGCCTCAGCCGGGAGGCTTTGTCTCCATCATTGCATTTAATCTTCACAAAAACTGAGTGGGGAAGATATTATTAGGCCCATGTTACAGATGAAAAACTGAGGCTTTGAAATGATAAGGCAATCACCATCAATCATGAGGCTAATAAATTACTAAATCAAAATTCAGAGCTTGGTTTGCCTCATTCCAAAGGCCACACACTCACGCACTGACACATTCTCTCTTCATGTACTAGTCACCCCAGCCCATCACAACTACCATCCTCATTTCTGTTGGAGGAGTTGTTTATTCTCTCGAGGGCTCTATACTGAGCAATCTACCCTCAGAGAGCCAGGCACTGGAGAGTCACTGAGGAACGGGATATGTGGTTCTTGCCCTCGTGGAGATTATATACTAGTTAGAAAATAGATTATTAAAGTCCATGGGCACTAAACAGAGAGTATTTTTGCAAAGTCATAACCCATATAGGCTCACCAAGAACCAGCAGCCTAAATGGAGAAAAGAAAGGAAAAAGTAGAAGGGTATAGAAGTCTGAAAGGAAATTTCCAGAGCCTGGTCCCGTGACTTGATCCGTGGCCCTTCCTAGTCCCTGTTTCTGTTAACGACCTCCAGGCTCCTCGGATTATCAGAAGATATAACACTTATTAAATGGCAGAGGCCAAAATTAGACAGCTTGAATTAATGGGTCAAATTGAACATAATGTAATTAAAGGGATAAATGTGAAGTCC